ACCATGGGTACAGGGTCAAGGCAGTAGGTACACAACTCTTCATTCCTTCACTGTTTTTAAATTACATGTCTTTAAATGAGTATGTTAGTGGGCTTATTTTGTAAAACAGAAACCAGATCTGTGAGAGGGACTGACGAAACAGCCCGGCCCATAAGCAGGGTCAGACTATGGGTTTGGACACACAATTGAATTACCTGAATTGTGTACAGAATGACAGCACAACAGCGGGGCTGCTGCATAGAGCCAATGCCCATTTTCTATAAAAATCAAGGCAGAAGGCATCAAGTGAGATCTTGCTCAAGAAGCATAAGCAACTCCTTACTTGCAAAAGGCCAAGAGCACACACACACAAGCTGGCTCCTGAAGCCCCACGCTGAGCTGTTTGAAGCCAGTTGTGCATACCAAGCCCCGTTTTGGAGATGCGGAATCGCTATCAGTCAGTGCAGGGTCATCTGAAGTTAATGGAAATATGCTGATTTATGCTGGCTGAAGGCCTGGCCCAAAATTCACAGCATTACAGGCTGGTTGAGTTTGGAAGGAACCTCTGGAGGGCATCCCTATGAAATTTGGATAGACCTTTTGATAGAGCGATATACAGACACATTTCTTGCTGGTACTGTTTCCTCTAACAAGAGCCCAGAAAGAACAGCCAATGCAGGAATATGTCAGCTGTCCTGGACCACAGCTGAACAAGATGCAGCAAATAAGCTCCTTCCTATTTAGTGGTTGTGTTTTACTTGTTTAATGCCACAGGTGGGACTGAAGCATTACAGATTTGACAACATAAAGATGAAGCCAACAGCTTAATGTAACAGGCATATTCTACACGGGAAAAGAATAATCATATCCCACATAGATGAGCTAGGAGAGGAGGAAGGGGGAGGGATGGACAAGCAAAAAGAAGAGAAGCCCAGTGATCCACAGTTTTAGCAAATACTTTAGCCTACAACTTCCAAATCATCTAAATTACGTACCAAGTGACGTCTCCCTTCACACCACTATCTTAACATTCTACTCCTACATTCCTAAAAGTACACTTTAATGATTCTCAAGTACTAATTAAAAAAACCAAATTTCCATGTAGAAATTAAAAACAATATGAAAACAGATTATGTACCATTATTCCACCTGGCAGAATGCAACAAACATCATAAACCTCTATCACTCGCAACACAGTAATGCAGCTAAAAATGGTCTTAGTACTCTTAACAGAAAACTTCTATTCAAGAGATGACTTAGCATAGTTGTGAGTAAAAGGTATCATTTCCTGCAGCACAGCCCTGCCTAGAATGCTGGTTGAGGTTTCCATGGTTAACCTAAATTAAAATCAATTCCATATTTTTTTGGCAGAGCAACTAGAAGCTAATTTTCATCTTTTCTTCTTCAACTATAATTAAAAACATAGGGAAAAGGCTTCATATGCCTCAAGTATGAAGGTAGGTTACAGTAGATATTTTTGTTTTTAAATAGCTACAATGCTCACCTTAATCAAGTCAAAATTAAGTGGAAAAGTAGCATGTCATTATTGCCTTCCTGTGATTATACAGTTAACAATAAACATACCCCATGCCTATAGGGGAGTAACACCCTGTGTGATAGTCTTGCTTGTTCTAAAAGGAAGTGATCCTTAATGCAAATTTGATCTGTAAGATCTGTCGCAAGAATTACTAATCAGTAACTCAGAAACAACAGAAGAGGGCAAAGGAACCTAAAAGGCTTTTTACAGCAATATTCAAAAGATATTCATAGTAAAGGCGAGAAATGTATAACATCAAAGGGAAACATAATTGTGTAAAATGAATAGCAGTTTGGCTTCTGTTCACATACGAAATCTACTCTGTACATACAGTGAGTGAGCAGAGAGGTTCAGTGTGTGAGAGGTGTACAAGCTGTCCAGGTCCCTCTGGATGTGGAGGCAGGACACAAGATGCTTTCAAAAGAGTTCTCTCAGCAGATTAAAACCACCCTGATACCATAAAGGTCTTCTGATGACTTCCCAGCAAGCAGCCTGCTAGTGCACAATCCTAGATTAAGGTCATTCTTCTTAGGAGCACTCAAAGGTGTGACATCACATTATAGACAGCTTTAATAAATGCTCAAAGTTCACTGAACCATCATCTTACTCGCTTCTATCCATCAAGTACATCCACTGCTTGCAACCCCTCACAAGTTCAATTTCCCATCGCCTCTTACTCTAATATATACAGATTTTAAGATTGAGAGCAGCAAAATAAACACAGAATATGAAGTTTTTCTACACATACTTTAAGAATTAGTCCTGCACAGGCTGCCTTTTAGCTACACTTTGTTAATATATGATTGCCACAACTGCTACAAAGTGTGCTAAATAACCTCTCTTTGAGGCATTCTGGATTAGATAACTCACATTGTACCTCACCTCATTGTGGATGAGGTACAAATCTTGATTTTGGAAATGCATTTGGGAAGGTAGGGAAGAAAAGCAAAGCACAATAGGGTTTTTTCCCAAGGCCTGTTGAAATCCAGTGGTCTCTGCCCCTTCCCCATCCTTCTCACCTTAAAGACTGACACTCTTAAGCTAAAAAAAGGCTTTGGGTTGAAACAATAAGCATGTGCCATGTCGGGACTGAAAGATACTGTGAACAGCACTGACTCCAAAGTCAATTCTATAACCCCTCATCAGTAGATTTCTTGGGAAAGGAATAGGTAAAATAAGGTAGAGGGATCTCTTTTGCATTTTGGAGTCTCCACTAGCAAACAGAAAACCTCACTTAAACTAGAGGAGCTTGCTTTGAGTAATAAAAAATACACAAACAGAAGCAACCCTATCAAAAGTCTTAAAATGACATTGATTCAGTCAAAATGACAAGAAAGAATCTTGTTACTTGGAAAGTGCTTTTCTCACTCACCCTTCAACCACTATTCACATACAACCCAAATCACATCTGAATGTATTCCCCTGGCCTTCATCACACACCATCCAGCATTATTTATTTTTATACGGAATCATTAGTGCATAGGATGGCCGAACACTGAGACAGCTGATTGTGAATTAAAGAGGAGAGGTGGCTTCCAGTGTGAAAATTCGAGAGGGGAAAAAGATGCCCAGGTTAGATGTGGAAGGACCCAGAAACAGAAGGCTGCTTACCTTCAGCAAGTGAAAAGCAGTGGCTGGAAGAGGGGGAACAAAGTGGGAAGTGAGAAATAACAACGATCAGAGATTGCAGCTGTGTGAGAAGACCAGAGAACAAGCAGATAAAAGCACATAAGATGAAGCAAGTTCATTTGAATTAGACACATGGGCATTAAGCAAGCCAGAAATAGCAACAGTGCACAGAGGGGAAACTGTTCATTTTGTTAAAGAGGAGTTAAATCTTCTCATCTGCCACAGGCTCTCGGGTGAGCGGCGAGGATGTCACTCACCCTGTGCCTCAGTTCCCCATCGACAGAGCAGGATGTTGTGCAGAAAAGACAAGTGATACAGGCGAGATACGAACCTACGCAGACAGCTATATCTAACAGACCCCTGATGAACAAAATAACGGAGAGACTGGCTATAGTGACCCGACCTACCTGAATTTTAGAGAGGAATACAAATGTTACACACCATGATGGATGGATGCATAATAACCACAAGAGAGAGAGAAACCCCTGACCATAAAAGTCTGGAGAGAAAGAAAAATTTTGCCAAATAAAAAGGCTGACGATGCACAGAGATATTCAAATGACAAGGCTGACTAAAATTAAGAGCAGAATGAATATCTGAATGTACCCTCAAAGAAATGCTCTCTAATTTCAGGGAGGTGTTATTTGGGCACCAGCTACTACCATGAATAGTGGGTACAGTCTATTCCTATCAAATATAGAGGACAAAAGCATTGGAAAGTTATAGCCAGGAAGAAATAGGCTTCCTGCTTGGGGATGGAAGAAGGGAAGGGGTGGGAAATTCCTTCAAATATGGAGGAAATGGAGAAAAGGCCCTCACCACACACAACTCCAGCCTGAGAAGGTTGCGTACTGGGATTCTTCCTTCAGATACGAGCTACAGGCAGAACAGAGAGAAAGTGGTACAAGTGGTTATTAAATAAGGTACAGGTAGTCACAAGATGAACCTCATGTACCAGAAGAAGCAAGCAAAGGAGACAAGCAGTCTACGAACAGACCGTCTGGTTGCAGGGAGGATCAGAGGGGCAGAGGAGACAGCTGATCAGAGATGAAATTTTCCCTGAGGGCACAAACAACCCTCCTGAATACATGTGAGCTTATTTGAGCAGGTTTGAGAACACAAAAGGGCCAGGAGGAAGCAGGGAATGGATGGCACGGAGGCAGCGTGTGGTCACAGTGACAGTATTTCCTTGTAAAATGCTGAAGAACTGCTGGAAATCTTTACTATCCCTCTGGCCATTCTGTCTTCATTATTTGTTCAGATCAGTACTCAAAAAAGAGATTTTTAAGAGATAAGTGTGTAACCAGCAGCATATATATGTAAGTCCTTGCTAACTCCAACTTCATTCTTCGCCATTTAGTATTTTCAGAGTGCTGTGTCAAAGCAACATACGTTAGCCGCGGGAGGCTTGTCCCCGTCCCAAGCAGCCTGCTCCTGCCCTAGAAAGTCTAAAAGCACAAAACAGACCAAGGATGGGAAAAAGCAAATACTACTCTCCCCATGTTACAGACTGAGGTCCAAGGAAGAGAGCTAGTAAGTGATTTTCCCAGGATTCCACAGGAGGTCAGTGGCAAAATTGGATATTGAAACCCTCTCTCTTCAGCATCCATCTGGTGCCTCATTCACAAGGGCAGCGTGTCTCTTTTAAAGACATGCTCTTTCATCCTCAGAGTGTGCTGGTAACAGGAATCTTTGACTGATTGCATATATTGAGTTTATATAACTTTAAGTCTTACTGAACCATGTTGTACCTTCCCCTCTCTATTTCTGGCTCCCTTGCAGTCACTTGTGGTCTGAGCTCAGATTAGCAGTACTACCAACTCCATCCACAAAGCCAACCTTTTTATTTACTTACAGTTCTGTTGGTGAAGTTACTGAAGTCTGTCACTAAGATTTGCTTGATCATCTCTGGTGAGGAGACCACCACAAACATCTGGCGACCAATGTAATACCTACAAAGAAAGAGAACAGAGTCGCTTTAGCAGATAATGACCACCAGGAGATCTATCTCCTTCCCTAAAAGACCTCTTCTGGCTTGAAAATACTTGCTGTGAACAAATATCACAGAAAATATATTCCCTTGGTTAAAGCAGTATCTTTTCCCATCCTTCTCAACTATTAAGATGTATGGTCCTGGAATTTAAAGGAAACAACTTAAAACTTTCTACTGATTAATCAATACTCAGCCAACATTTTAACGTAAAGGTTCACACACACTGTGCTCACTATGAATTCTGAACAAATTGATGTAGTATCATGAAACCAAACTACAGAGGGGTAAAACATTAGAAACCAACAACCCAGACAACCATGAAAGACTTATAAAATCGATTACCCTGCAGTTAGCCACATGACGTGTCTTTCCATGGCAGAGCCGGGTCTACAGTGACCCTTTCCAGAAGTCTCCCCCAGCGTGGCTGCAGTAAAGGCACACTTCCACCACTTCTACTAGCACTGGAACTGAGTGGATCTCAGACCCCACGCTTTGCATTACCACGAACATAACCACCTAACAGGTACCATCTGAACCTTACACACCACCAATTAAAAAAAGAAAGATTAAAAAAGAAAGGTTCACCAAGTATAAAGGAATTAATATAACTTTAGAAGACTGGGTGATAGGGGTCCCTCACTCTCTGCTTGTACACCCCCCTCTATCTCCCTGCGCCCAGTTTAATCTGATCCTGTGGTGCCAGGCTTTTTCCTTCCCGCCATTGTGGATGCCATAGAGGTACCCCAACCCCAAAAATCCTAGGGGTGCAGAGCTCCCTTCTCCAGCGGCATTCCCCCCAGGGCCCACAGGCACCCCATGCTTGGCTGTTTTGCGTGGGGAGGAAGAAGTAGTACCAACAAGCAGAGGTTGCCTGCATCCCCTACCTTTGCCAGTGCTGGACCAGAAAGACTATGCAGACGGCTCTGCCAGGGGCAGGTAAGAGGAGGCTAGAGGCAATCACAGGAGGGCCGGGCAGCTCCGAGCAGAACACCAGAGCCGTACCACAGACGCTGCACTACCATGGTGATATCGATGCCTAATCATTGTGGTATGATACAGCATAGTATCCATGTATTGCTTATCACCTGTCGACATTGCAGCAACGGAACAGACAAACAAACCCTGGACTGAATGAAATTTAGTAAATGGAGGTTCCCATGGCAATGAAGCTGCAGCAGCACTGATTTCACCGAGGGCAAACAAGTCAGACAAACATCTTGATTCCAAAACAGGGTTTCACAGTCCACCTTGACCCCCGTACACCAAAACTCATAACAAACAAATGGCAGAGAAGAACAAGAAAACAATTTTCTTCTGGAAGGAAGAGATCTTTTCTTCTCTGGTGGGTTTCCAGAGGGAACTGTTATTTCCCAAATCCAGGCCACAGTCTCCACTTGAACCTTAGATGCAGGTGGTACATTCTATTAAAATAAACCTTTTTCACCTCTCTCAGTTTGCTAAACCACAGCAAAGTAGCTGTCTGTTAATGGTCAAACTTTTCTTCAGAATCCTAATAGGTTCATAAGAATGAGCCGAGGCCTCATTTTAAAGAGTGCCTTGATCAGAGTCTTCGGCAAAAGAGGATGATGCCCTGCTTGCTCCTTCCACATGTACTTTGCACAATTTCTCCAGCATCAGAGAAGCAAGGCAAGTTCCCAAGGCAAAGACTTGTGCTGCTCCAAACCTGCCCAGGATGATCTGCCATGTACACTGACGTCTCATGCACCCCCCCTGCTTTTCTCTTCCCCCTCTCCCAGCTTATCAAGTTACTTGTCTCAATGGTTACTGACTGATGGTCCTCCAACACATAGCTTTTTACAGGGACAAAATCCCTAACACCAGATTCCAAATCTGACTCAGAAGCTGATTATGCCTACCCAGACAGTTCTACTCTGACCACCAAGAGGCACCACATGGTACATCACGCAAAGCACACGTGTGTGTGTGTGAGACAGACACTTCTACTTTATGTCAAACTTGGGAAGCTGCAGAGCTCCAGCTAGCAACCACTGGAATAACAGGATGATCCTCACAGCTTCAGTCCTTATGTGACCATGCACTTTGTGCTTTAAAGCATTCAGGACTCAAATCTGGGACAGGAGCATCTCCTACTCAAGCTGCTCTTACGAGTAAGTGACTCACAAGCCAAGCTTACGCAAACAAATCTATTCATCATCCTCCACCTCAGACCACTCACCGGAACTCCCAGTTCTGCTTCCACAGATAGGCTCTTTCCTTTTTATTTACTCTTCTCTAACTTTCTATCTATAGGCACCTGCTTTTCCTTTCTTTAACCAGTTATAAATAAGGACAAAGAGAGGGGGGGTGGAAAAAGCCAAAGACAAAAACTAAAATTAATAAACTGAAAATACTGAAGAACTATCTTAAATTTCTTTTTGAGCCAAGTTCTGCCTCTGCCTGCTTTTAACGAATAACTGCTGTAAAGCGCGCACACACAACCATCTTTTATTGTATTCCAAACAGCAAAAGCCCTCTTCCTGGCTTTTTTCCCTTCTCAGACTTTCGGTATATAAACTGTCTAACATTTTCTAAGGCACAAAAAGAAGAGGGTGTTTATGGACATGCTTGGGAAGTCAATCTCCACAGGCTAGGAGCATGACTTCCATGATCTTTCCCTGGAATTAAGGAAAAGGCACAAGTAAAGCTAAGCATGAAACAAGACCATCTGTGCTATTTCATTTGGTAAACACAGGTCCAGAACCTGCAAAGCCACCAGAAAGGTGCTTAACTGAGTTTTAACGTATTTAAAATCCTTTGCAGGAGGAAGGCCTTAGTCATAAACCAAGAGGATATGTCCCAACTAGGTTTTTGGAGGTTTTTTCCGCTTGTTCCAAAATAGCAAGTAAAAGATAAAATCCTCCTGAACAATAATCTATTCTTCCAAAGTAAATAACATATTCACCTCTGCCATGTAACTTCATTTTGATTCTGTATTACTACATGAGGATATCGCCAGTCTCACATAGACTTAGATTTATTATTGAACAAAACCCGATATTCTTGTCAGATTTTAATAAATAAGAGTTTGAGAAAAACAAAAGCCTCCCGGCAAGTGCATTACAAATGGATTCATGAATAATTTAGGACAGCACTTTTTATTAACTTTCTCTAGGTTAATCTTTTCACGGGGCTTGGCCACAGAAGTTCTACTGTTAACTACAGCGGTGCAGTACCATTGCACTGCTTGACCCAACCCTTCGTAATATTGTTACGTAGGGCATTCAGGGTGCAACACAAACACTTGGGACTGTCTGGCTCACTCCTGCAGAGAAACAATAATGTGTGAATACAGCACAGCATCCTCAGGGCAGTGCAGTTCTGTCCACATGGGAATCTGTTGTAACACTGCCATACCAGTAAAAACAAGTTTCATGACCCACGCATAAGTGTAATTTTCCTGTGTAGATGAGACCACCGTTATTTATGTTGTTAGGGCAATTTCTATTAAATTTCAGTTTAAACTGCAAACCTCCAAAACTGAGAAAATATTCCACATTTTTAGACCAGCAGTTTTAGCGCCATTGGAAGGTGAGACAGGGAAAACCTGGTACCAGTACATCAAGAGCGTGAGGACAGCATTAGCCTCCTCCAGCAGATGAAAGGGCGGATGACCAGCCACTGCCCCCGTGCTGCACCATCCCCAGGAGGGACAGGTAAAAAGTGTTTCAGACGCGTTCAACAGGGGGCACGGATCTACAGCCAGAAGTTGCGGAGAAGACAGGCTGCCCTCCAGCGAGTTTACCAAAGGGTTTGCAGGTCAAGGGCTGGTTACGATATAGCATATCGAGCCAAGGACCTTAATCTGCATCCGGAGTGTTTTAATAACTGAAGAGGCTACAAACACCCAACACACTCAGCTGCAGAAGTTTGGTTTGTAAGAGCAGACAAGCACCACTTAATGGCAATTAATGAAGAGGACAGAGACTTCTGCCTTGCGTTCTGGTCTCACCCAAGATGTTGTGGTCCTCTTTGCAATGACTTAGTCATTTAGTAAATGCATCTTTTCCTTTATCTGCAAGAATACGTGGCAATCCAGCAATGATTTCTCCTGGTTTGTATGTGCACCACCATCACTTTCTGCAGAAATGTGGCCCAGGTGTCTCAACCAGCACCCAGTGCTTGCCATGGCCATCGCCACAGGTAAAAAGTGTCTGCCAAGTCCAGCTATGACATGAGGTAGGAGCAGCAAGACAAGAGACACATCGGAGTGCGTGGTCCCTCCTGCAACACCCATGCACAGCATCTCCCTTTCCAGTGTTTGCCAGGGACCCACGGGAACACAGATTTCTGTTCTCAGGCAACGTAGCAGATCAATCATCTACTTTTAATTTGAAGGGCCAATTTAGCATTATCCTTTCTGTGCCCCCAGGATCATTCTGGCCACACCGTGTGTTCATCTGCTGCTGGCAGCATCCCCCAGGTCACAGGCCACGGACACGCTCTCTGAGCAAAGCTCACAGCAACTTCTCCTTGCTGCACAGGAAAAGATGGAGCGTGCACGCAGTACATCATGGCAAAGGGCCATATGTTTTTGTATAACACCCGTGTGGGAAACACCTGCAACCCTTTCACCTTGTTTATAGTGCTGCTGTCAATTCACAGAAGACTTTGATCTCCCTATCTATTATCAGTCCCATGTATTACGAATACATCACATTAATCATAAAACACATATATGTGCTGTTAGGCAATAAACAAGGCTTTGTTTTCTATGCTGCAGTCTGGTAAAGTACACAGAGATCATCTGGAAAGCTAAATGAAAACAGAAAATTTTATTATCTCTATCTTCCTCAGGGAAGAGCAAAGAACAAAGAGGAAGAAAAAAAAAGGCATGGAAAAAAAAGGAGAGGTATGCAAATACACAGAGATACAGGGTGAAAGGCTAATTTTCTTAGGAGACATTTCCTTATAAACAAGTTCCTCAATCACTCTGCCTCT